TCTATGGGAGTTCAACACCATCAACTATCTGAGGACCTCAGGCTTTGCCCATCCCTTGTCGAGTTGACCGTTCACCTCATGTTGACCAGCAAGATTTGCCTGGTCAACTCGCAAAGAGATGCCTGCTGATCAACAAATGAAATAGCCTGCGCCGTTTGGTTACGTCATAAACCAGTGGATCACGTTGACCACCACATAACCAGCTAGGCAACAGGCTCATGGGAACCAATAAAAACGCCCCACATGTGGAACTACGGATGAAAAGTCCTGGTTGAACGGCCAAAGGACAGGAAGCATTGCCCTCATCTGATTAATGACCTGGGCAAATGTCCATGCATCTGGCGTTCATTGTCAAGCGCTCCGGTTTTGAGCACCCCAGAGTCTTAGATTTGTTTCCTGGCTGCACTCTGGGCTTCAGGTCCCTGACCGTGTGGTTCTCATATCTGCAGTCATGGAGAGAATATACTAGAATGGATGCCAAGGCGGGCTTGAGAGTGAATATGGAGAATTATACCTATTGATTTTGGGCGCCGCCCTACCTTGGTCAACGAGACCGGCTCCGACCATGGGGTAGGCAGTTGATTTTGGCTGGTTGACGGGCCCTATGCTCTCGTGTACCAGTCCCATACCCAAGAAACACAGTCGGCTTACATCCAAGAAAGAGCTTCGGCGCAATAATACACCCAACGACATATCACGAGTCACAAACTGATTCTGTTTATTGTTGAGCCATCCTCAGGAGTTGTGTTCAACATGCTAGAATGCTGGAGCGCTTCGTCCCGCTTAACCCGGGCCCCTTGACGTCCTTGGCACCCGTCGGCGGGTTTCATACTGCCTCGACACACCCTGACCATTAATGATGCCTGGTAGATCCTAAGTCAAAGTGTTCAACCTTCTGTGCTTGAGGTCTCCCGACCCGTGAACTACTGGTGTGTTCTCGGTCAAGGAAGGGAGATTCAGACTCACAAGGGGAGGGAATGGTTAATGGACTCGAACTGCTCTTTTCTTTGAGCGTCGCCCGAAACCACGACGCAGCTCGCGTCCCTGGGGATCTTCCATCGATCTCGGCTGATTAACTGGTCCTGTCCTCTTAATTATTTACCTGGGCAAACACGCCTATTGGCTGATAGAGAGATTATTGAAAGCCCGCAGGGCATTGTCCCATTAACGGGCAAGGCATTTCAGCGGGCTATGCGAGCCTAGACCACCGTTCGCCCATTGAGAAAGAGCTTCTGTCATATGCCATTTTTTTGATGAGCGGAGGGGCTTGAACATCGCCCCGTGGTCGAGACCCGTGGTGATTCTGTCCCCACGATTATTGGCTTAGCGTTCTCCTTTCTCCACCTTGGAGTACCGGCCATAAAACGTCTCTATGGAAACCCCTAGAAGATCCCGACACCGTGCCATTATAAACCAACCGCAGCGGTACTATGGTAGGGCTGTCCTGTCAGGAACCATGGAGGCAGCAATTTACGCCCTAACAAGCAAAAAAATCGACGAGATATTCGCGGTTTTCGGGGTTAAGAAGAGTGAGCGGATAGGCCCACTTATCACCGAGCTGTCCGGTATAGGTGAGTAGGTGGCTTATGTACATTTACAGTGCGATCCCTGGCTAATATGCATTCCTGTCCGTGAAACTCTACTTGAGGCCGGAATAAATGAAAAAGAAACGCCCTTCTCGCGTCGCGTCGGCTCTCTCTCCCAAGAACACCCCGCTACGTCTCACGGAATTCGAGGATCTTATCGGCTCCTAGATAGCGGAAAGAGGGGTTTACCAGATGTCAAGGGTCTATGCGCACCCACTCGGAAGAAGAG